ACCTCATATGCCTCTACATGTCCTAAATGTACAACAGATTTCAAATACTCAAAACACTATGCAGAAAAATATTTTTTCAGAAATACCTACAACTTCTACAACAGGTTTATGGGACACTGGTGTTCCAACACCATCAGTTGGAGACTTTAGTTACAGTTGGTCAAATTGGTTTCAAAGTGAAACGGATCCTAATAACACTAAAGATCCAATTCAAATTACTAATGAACTTTCAGTTCCATTTATTCAGCCTGTGTATAGTGGGAGAGAAAACATTGGCGGTATGAATACAATAAACAGTGTAAGTATTTCATCAGACAATAATGTTGTACATATCAAAAGACCCGAAGGTCGGTGGTTAGATTGTGATGTATGCCATAAGACCTTTCCTTATTCATCCAGGCATAAACTGATTGAACACCAGCGAACACATACCCGTGAAAAACCATTTAAATGCTATATATGTCAAAAATCATTTTCTTTGTCTAGTACCTTGATTGTGCATAAAAGAATGCATACTGGAGAAAGGCCATTCAAATGTGATTTATGCCCAAAAGCATTTGCTCAAAAGTCAAAGCTTAATATACATAAAAGAATTCATACCGGTGTGAAACCATTTCATTGTGATTTATGTCAAAAAACGTTTGCTCATTCTTCAAATCTGGCAGACCATAAGAAAACTCACACTCAAGAAAGACCTTATAAATGTGACATTTGCCACAAGTTGTTCACACTGGCAAATAGTTTACGGAAACATAAAGTATTACATTCTGGTTACAAACCATACGTATGTGAAATATGCCAAAAAGCATTTGCCAAAAAAGCTAGTTTAGAACGTCACAAGGGTACACATGATGGTGTACCTCAATGGACCAAACCATTTACGAACGGTGCAAAAGAAAAGCAAATGAATAACTCTGATAAGCCTTTTAAATGCCATATTTGTTTCAAATCATTTGCTAGTGTAAATGGAATGACTAGACACACAGCTAAACATAATGGACAAGATCAATTTCAGTGTGAAATTTGTAACAAGACTTTCACGGGTATGTCAGTACTAGCTAGACACAAACGAATACACTCTGGAGAAAAACCATTTCAGTGCGAATATTGTCACAAGGCTTTTGCTTATTCATCAATACTAGTATCTCACCGACGTACTCACACTGGGGAGAAACCTTACCAGTGTGATCTTTGTCCCAAAGCATACACTCAATCCTCCAGTTTAATAGTTCATAAGCGAACCCATTGGAACAATCACCAACCAATTAACTCAATCGAACATCCAACGACTGTACCACTAGCTCAGCCTAGGACAACAAATCAATACGAATTGCCAAATACATCGGAGGCAGACGACTACACTGATAATTGGTCGGGCTGGTATCCTAGCGAGCCTGATATATCTCTTGTCACAAATGAACTGCCCACCGAAGAGCCACCCATACAAAACGCAGTGGTCCACTTACCCATACAAACCGTGCCCAACAGCCATAATGAGAAAATAGACGTAATCGTGTTACCGCAGAAGTTCAAATGCGCCAAGTGTAAAGAATCTTATGACGAGAGTTTTATGTTATTGAAACACATCAGGGAAGTGCACAGATTTAGCGCTGTCAAAGTGAAAAAGAAGTCATCTTTAAAAGGTGACGAAGTGGTCAAGCCGAAAAAGAAACGCGGCGAACGTCAACGATTGGAATGCGACATTTGCCAAAGGCCGTTCAACGACTCGTACAAATTGAAAGTGCACCGGCGAACACACACCAGGGAAAAGCCGTTCAAATGCGACACGTGTGACAAGTCGTTCATCGACTCTTGCAACCTGAAGGAGCATCAAAAGGTGCACACCGGCGAGAAGCTGTTCGAGTGCGACATATGCCAGAAGACGTTTTTGCAGCTGGGTACGTTGACCACACACCGGCGCACGCACACCGGTGAAAAGCCGTACACCTGTGACGTGTGCCTCATGACATTCGCGTTGCTGAGCAGCATGAAGACGCACAAGCGTCGAGCGCACACCGGCGAAAAGCCGCACAAGTGCGATTTCTGCCAGAAGGCGTTCGTCAAGCGCAACGACATGGTCCGTCACCGGAGGACGCACACTGGCGAACGGCCGTTCGTGTGCGACATTTGCCAACAGTCGTTCACCCAGTCGTACGTGCTGGTGCTGCACAAGAGAAACCACCATTCGGGCGATGGAACCGGCCGGACGCCGACGACAACGAACAAGCGCCGGGCCGCGCCGCCCCGAGAAAAACCGTTCAAGTGCGGCGCGTGCCACAAGTCCTTCGCCAGCCAGTCGACGCTGAACACGCACAACCGGACGCACACGGGCGAAAAACCGTTCCACTGCGACGAGTGCGGCAAGTCGTTCACTCAATCGTCGGGTCTAGTGGCCCATCGGGCCGCCCACCACTCAGCGAACAAGCTACCGTTCGGAGATGCGAACATTGCGAACGAGCTCGACGCTAGCCGTAGCAGACCTCAGTACGCCGCGGCCCCGGATATTCACAGGATACCTCAGTACGCCGGCGACAGGCCGTGCGAGTGCGCCGTGTGCCAGTCGTCGTTTGGCCAGCCTTTTCCCGCCCTAAACGAGCAGTTCGACCATCCCGTCGCAGTCGCTGCCGCTATGTCCAATAGCAACATGATGTATTATAGTTAAGCCTAAGACCAGTATAAGACCTATTTCACACACGCTTGCCCCGTCCAGTGGATGTACCAGACGACATGTCGGCTATGTACCAGCTGACCGGCCCGTCGCCGGTTTGAAGTTAATCCGGTCGCCGGATACGTGTGAAATTTAGGTCGAGGCCGACTAAACAACAAAAACAAAATTATAATGGTTTAAATAATTATTTGGGTCGAAAATGTAGGTAATACAATTTTTATTGTTAAACGTGTGTATGTGGCGTCCTTGGAAAATAGATATAGATTTTTCAATGCCCACTTCATAATTTATTAAAAAAATATTAGATTACAAAAATAGTTACTTTGACTGCTGCACCAAGTACTTAAGTAGTAGGTTTGAAAAATCAATATGACAATATCTGTTATGACCGTTTTTAAAACTATTATAGAATCTCCGTAAACTTTAGAATTAGTTATTTTCGACTAATAACTATTTATACTCACGCTGATGGATAATGAGTTTTAGGAACGAAGATTTCATATTTTCAAGAATTAATGTCATCTTCCTTCATGTAGGTACATTGTTCACCAATTCTTATTTATCTATTTATTTTGTACATACTTTTTTATATGTTGTTATATTATCTTGTACTGATTTATCTAGGTATGACATAATATTTTATGTACTTATATATACATTGATGCATTGTTCACTATACAAATTATGTATTTAAAATATTTTATACAAATATAAAATATATTTATATACTTTAATATTTTAATGATATTTTCAATTTACTCTACATGGTTTCTGATTTTTGGATTATTGTTTTGATAATCATGCCAGTATGTGTTTTCTACATCTTAAAAACGTACAAACATAGTAAATTTGCATTCAAGAGAACCAAATTTGTATTTCATCAATTGGAGCAAATTTATGTTATCAAACTTGTGGTCAAAAAATTATCTGTATTTGTTTGTTAGTTTATACGATATATAATTTGTACGATTATTATGAGTTTGTAAAAAAATATTACAATTTAAAAATTCTCATAACTCCCTTATAAATTAAAATATTGTGAATAACCAACATATTAACATACTATACATAATCACTATACATAATATGTTCTGATTAGGCATCTTTAATCTGGATTTTAAATCAATTATATTATATTATATCAATTAAATTATATTATAAAGAATCGACTAAAGTAATACTGCCAAGCACAAATTTGTTCTCTATTGCTTTGTGAAATGATAAAAAATGTAATTTTTGAAATGTACTTAAGCTTCATCTGATTGTTTCTTAAAATCATCTTGACCATCATTGGCATACTTTTACTCTAGTTAAATCTCAACTTCAATTATCCAGAAACCAGCCCCTATTTTCCTTAAAAATGTGTACTATCATATATAATATTATTGATTGATAACTGCCAAAATATTTTAATTTTATTAACTAAATAGATATACTTATGAGTTATGAAGTACAAATCTATAAACAAATAACACCATTAAAATTGAATAAATACATTATTTTATGTATGGTATTTCATTTCAAATTTAATACAATATAATATTGTTGTTCATTATTAATTTTTGGTATTTTTTGTTTCTTATTAATTATCATATTTTATTGAATGCTAATATTACAACTATGCCCTTAAATGTTTCTTGTCATATAACCATTGGGCTACCAGCCCATACTTTCAATAAATAATTTATAATTTTTTACCTTGGTAATGTACCTACATTATATATGAATAACATAAAAAGAAAATGTGACAAAGAATCTTCTTCGTGATACTGGTAATAATACTAAATATATTTGTATATATATATATCCGACGTATTCACTATTCACAATTAAAAGCAGAGAATTAAAGATCTATTTGGTAAAATTTAACTGAAAACAATTTATTTTTGGTAACAGAAAATTGTCTTTCTTAAAAATAAAAAAAATGTTCAATATGGTTATGAATAGTGTAGCCGTGTAGGTATACTACTATAGTAGGTAAGTACAGTATTATATATTAGACACAACTCAAATCTGTAGTGCACATTTCCAATTTTGGACTACTCACATTGTATCGAGGTTCACTAAAAAATAGGGGCTGCCAGAAACTATACAAAACATGTCATTAATTTTAAAAAACATGAAGATTTATAATTATGCTTTTGGAGATATGGTCTGAATATTCAATGGCAAAAGCATCGATAATTTGTTTAAAAATTCTTCATCAGAAATTTAAAAAATTGATGCATTTTAAATTGGTAAGCATTATTATTAAATGTAATATCTTATTCATCTATGATTATAAAATATAATATGTAGTACTAGGGCTTATCAATATTTTAGGTAAACGATAATATACAATACATATTATATTACATTAATATTTCTAAACATTTGGTAACCCAATTTTTGTTGATGTGTGACAATCATAACATTTTAACTTTTAAGTTATAAGATTATAACTATAGGAAATAATGCTAATATTATGCAATAGTCTGAATCAACATTGGTACAAAATGAACATATTAGGGCCAAACTGCTAACCAAAGAAATCATTTTTAACTTGTCCAAATATGTATTATAATTTTCCAAGTTAGTAGTTGTTAACTATTTAATAGATTAATGCTTTTTTGTAAACATAATAATTAATTTAGTTTAATTTATATAAATACTTAACTAAAAAAATATCTAATTTAATTACAATAATTGGAATATTTTTAAAATAAGTGTATGGTGTACAGTAATCGTTGTATAGGCACAAATATAATTATTATTTCAGAATTAAAGCGCTCATAAGTTTATTTTTACAAAAAAAAAAAATATATATATTATATTTATATAAATAAGATTAATAACTATTAAAAATCACAAATCAAAGATTAACATTATGGAAAAAAATGTTTTATATAGTAATAAAATACATTTCATTCAACACTAAATTCAGGAGAAAAATATTTGTGAGAAATTGAATTTTTAGTGCCTAGTTTAAGGTAAATTCTGTACTTAAGTGACCAAGATTGCACGATTATGATAAATGTCGAAGTACAAGAGAGATGATTTATAATAGCAAAAATTTATTTTGTTGCTGCCTCACGCTCCTCTCGTGAACGTTTTTCTTCATTTGCCAAACGAGTTTCTTCCTCCAATATCTCATCAAAGTTCTGCATAGAATTGGATCGAGATGCGACTTTAGTCTAAAAATGTTTATTAATTACAATTTAATACATTTCAGTTTATATTACTTTATATTATTTATAATTATACCTTCACATTTTCCAAAGCTGAACCCACTTTTTCTTCAAAAGAACGGAATGATTCAGAGTTCTTAATTTGACCAAGCTTGGTCGTAAGACCACTACCAAATCCTCCAAATATTGTAGTAGCTTTCTCTGCAGTTGTTTTTACTACAGATTCAGTTTTTTGATAGCTGTTAACAACATAGTAATTGTTAAATATTTAAATATTTCTAGGGACTGCAGACAAACATTCTTAAAACAAAATACCACTTTATTAGTAATTAAAAATCACTGAAAATAGCTTGTAATAAGACATATAAGTTGGCAAATTAAAGAAAGTCTTAGTTGTTAAAAGAACAGTCATAGCATTAGATAAGACGTCTGACACACACAACCATGTTTGGGAATTTGGAATTAATTATATAAAATGAATAATCTTTAAAAAAAAACTAGACATTTTAATAGGGGGAATTGTTATGTTTCGGGGATATACACTGGGGCTAAAAGTTTAGATATTTTATCAGTGTAACTAGTTTATTATTATAATAATAGTAATAAATTATTAGAATAATATAAAATAACCTGATTTAGTTTTATGACTTTTAAATTTTAGACTTGGTTATTGAAAAATAACTAATTTTTAAAAATTTCATAAGCACAACCCAATGAAAAAACAAAAATCCAATGATTTAACTTAATACAAAATACAAAACTCAAACAAATAATATTCTAAGTCATATTGTGTGTTCATGCGTTACAAATACAAGGCAAAGACTTACATAGGCGTTTCGGTGACCGCTGATCCAAACTGCTTAACCTTGCCTTCTACATTTTGGTAACTAAGTGTTTTTACAAAAATAGAAATAACTAATTAGAAGATAAAGCAAAAGTGCAAATAAGAACATTTACAAGCAACTCAATAATGAACTGAAACAAAGCATATATTTTCTTCCATAGAACTCAAGAGTACATGCATGAATGTACACGTAGATTTTATATACCAGTGTTTTAGAACCATGTTCCTGGTTGGGGTGCGCATGTCGCCCGATTCTGGTAAAGAAAAGTTGAATCTAGTAAAGAAAATACAATAATATTGTCATTGCCAAATCATGTATTATTACAATATACAATTTTAGTTAATGTTGGTGATTAAAATTAATTAGTGCGATTCAAAAGTTTAGTTTAGTACAATATTTTTTAAATTTCAATGTATTATGACAACAAACTAATGAAATATTATTCCAGTTGTTACAAAATATTTATTAAATTTAAGATAATTCAAAACAATATAAAATTAAAAAAATATATGGCTATCACCTAGTATTTTATTAAAAAGTAAATATAAAGATTAAGATTATGTACCTAATTTGTATTGTGATTTTAATAAATTTTATTGACATAATATAGTACAAGCTCAGATTTTTGAGGCAGCAAGAGATTAATCCGGCCCATTTTCTATTAGTATATTTTAGAAATAGGGCTTTTGGTATATGAATATAAAATAGATCACTCAAATTATTGGGGTGGAAAAGAATGTGAGATTAATTTTGGAAAAGTGCTAATAATTGAGAGGAACCTTCATAAAATTTAACATATCCATGAGAAGAAGAGGAGCATGTAAAAATGTATCTACACATTTTTTAAAAAAATGTATAAAAATTATTTTTAAAAAAATGTATAAAAATTATTTTTAATTATTATGTACCTACATTGTATAAATATAAATATATAAATATATAATATTTAATGAATAATTATATAAATATAATTTTACGGAGGTATAAAATTTACTGCAGCCTACAATTTACTATTTAATGTGAATGGCTGCCCAATAAAATTCAGAAGCCGCAAATATGCTTTATTCATTATTGCCATATTCTTATGGTATAAACTAGAAATTAATAAAATGTAACCATAGCGTAAATTTAATAGGAAGGGTATGTTTCTGTAGTTTCTAGAATAACACAAAATACTTATTTATAATATTTGGGAAATTAATACGGAGAAAATTAAATTGTAAAAAAATGTAAATGGAGTAATAATTTATTAGATGTTTTATCTTAACTGTTATTTTTTATTGATAGTAAAATTTAAATCGCACTAATATTTAGAAGCTGTGTTGAAGATGACTTTCATTTTGGCAGTTAATTAAACACTGATACATAAAATAAACGTTAGGAAATTGAAATGCTTGTCTTTGTATAGAAGACTTACATTGGTGCGTCAACAACAGCTTTTCCAAATTGGGTAAATTTGTCCTCTACATTTTGATAACTATATAAAAATATAAAAATAATAATAATAATAATAAAAAAAAAATAGTATTTATAATAATAGGAAGATGGATAAAATCATAATAATAATAAACCAAAAGCTAGCAAAAGAAAAAAAAACTTCAGCACACATGGAGGAAAATATTACTGAACTTACACATTTGACTCTTTAACATTTCGTAAGCTCTGTGACACATCTTCACTAATCTCTTGCCAAACAGTATAACCAAGCTTACGTCTAAGCTCTTGAGATGCTTTCACCTTGGAACCAAGCACTTCACGTAATGTCTTGATTTCTTCTTCCACCTTATTCAGTTCTTGTTGCCATTCTTCTTTCTGCTTTTCCTGTTCTTCGAGGCTAAGACCTTGCAGTTCATTAATTCCTGAATCTGGTGACATGATTACTGGGGGTTCTTCACCTAAAAACATGATAACAATTATTAAGTTGTTTAATTTTAAACAATGTTATCATAACAACATTGTCTGACAAACAGTAGGTGGAAGAGTTACAAAGTATGACAAATATGTGTTACCTAGCAATATTAAGTATGCTTTGGTGAATGATATATTATGCAATATTTCCCAAAATCTAGGTAAAATTTAATTGTATACTTTGTATAAACATTAAACAGGCAACTTTAATTTTTAAATTATCCTAAGTTAATCATATTTACATGTTTTGCCATCTAGAGATTAGGTATTAATATGATATACTTTGGAAACATTGACTTCTTAGTTTATACCTACACTCAAATTGAATAGATGTGTACCACTTAGGCTAAAATGTTGTATTATTTAATATGTTTATTTGGAGTGCGCTGGTCCGATACCAATTTAGTCATCTGTTTCATTATTATGTATAGGTTATGTATAAGTAAATACTAAGAAGGTATAAAAAATTATGATAACGAATCATAAATGAGTGTTGGACGTGAATTTTCTATTTTTAATAAGAAAACAGTTCAAATAGTACCTAGTTTTTTTGGATAAGTAGTAGATATACCTAAAATCTAAATGTTAAATACCGATGTGTCATCTAATATTTTGTTCTTAATTTTAACCATACGCCATACAGATTACACAACATATTTCAATTAATAATTTTTAAGATATTACGAAGTACAAGTCTACGATTTATGAATCACATTAATATGAGGAAGAACCTCTGTGGTACACAAGTACATGCAGATAAATTATCGATGTATCGAAATATCCGAGAATTAGGAACAAATAATTAGTCCACAATAGCTGTAACTAATTTATGCATTATTAATATTGTTATTGCTTATTGGTTAGGTCAACGGGCACGCGAATGTTTACAATTGTTTAAATTATTTCCAAACACGATATTGCACAAAGATGTGTACAAATCGACAAAAAAATAGTAAATATAAATTAAAACAATAATGGTCTGTAGACATATCTGCAAATAAGTAACTACTACCTCCTGTGTATGTCATTAATTTTTGTACGAGTGTAAAATACAAATGTAAAATCATTGATTTTGCTCGAATTATTGAACAATGAATACGTGATACATAATAATAACCATAGGTAATAGATACAAACGATATTATTTGGTAAAAAAAGTTAAATTGTATTTACCACATATCATAATGGTTAACTTCGACAATAAAAAAAACTATATAGCTTTAACCACCAACTATGGTTGCAGCTAGGAGCAAAAATGTATCGATAAAATAGAAAGTTAGAGATTAAAAAAAAAAATATACTACGAATGATAAATATGATGAATATCAGAATAAATGAATATTATGATGTATTGACATCTCTTGGAAATTATCGATATTGTCATGGGTATTAGGAAGTAGGAATCACGTAAATTATGTACCTAATATCTACATTCTACTATTTCTACGGGCTTTTCAATAGTTTGAATTCGTTTGAAAAATATATACGTATGAAAGTTATAAGCAGATGCTACTTTCAAAGACTGTATGGGAGGAGTGAAACCTTTGAGGACTTATGAAAAACATGAAATTGAATAAAAATTATTAAAAAAAAAAATAATAATATTCTATTAAACCTGGAGTTAATTATCGACTTTTGCCAAAATAACACGGCAATAATCGTTATAATTTATTTTATCATATTGTATGTAACTAAATATAGAAGTATGTAACTGAACAAGCAAATCGTGTATATAATTGTCATAATTAGATTTAAAAACCGAGGTAGGTATGTAAGAACAATCAAAAAGTAAGATAAGAGTCGCCAACAATTGTTTTTGAAACGCTTAAATTCGTATAATTTGTATAGACTATAGGTACAAGCAAACACTGTGACTAATACAATAGATTAAATATAAATTGTTATTATTGTTGTAACATAACATGGAAATATTATTTTAATTTTGTAATACGTCGACGGTGAGTTTATGCATTTATAAAACATATCATAACAAGTAGCTAGTAAGTCATAACTCATAACGCCAATTTGCTAAGTAAAAATCATCTAAGATTTAACTATCTAAGCATAAAACAACAATAGGTATTACATTTTGAGGCAGCAAGTTTATCTACTTCCATGATTTAAATCAAGAAATAATTTACATACAATTATTCGTAGAAAAATACGACTGCGTTGGAACAATAATGAATAAAAATACTTTTTAAGATCACGAGATTTAACTATATAAATATATGATCTATTAAATTCTTATGCAATTATTTATCCAATCAATAACCATTAACCATTGTAAATTAAAGTAGTTTTAGACTTTCGGTACATAAACGGACAATTATATCAGTACGTCAATTTTGACATTAACAAAGAAATATGAATAAAATACTGTCCAATGTCCATAAAGAAATAAAAATCTATAAGCATAATTCATTATTTCCAATTATGATTATTATTTATTACAATAATCAATATTACTGAGCAGTAATTAATTTAAGAACGAATGTCTTCGTTATAATATATTTAGTAAGTATAATTGATAAAATATAAAAGATGATTCGTCATCTCGATGATACTCTTTCTAATCGTAAAAAATTGTTGATGACGAAATCGGAACTACGGATATAATGTTAAAATAATATATCACCTACCACTTAAACCCACATTTTAGTATCAACAATCACAATATACCATTCCATTAGCATGATTAGAAGTCAGCACTATTTCACAGACGTGATCAAGTGTAATTTTTTGGGACGTTCGGTAAACACCTATATGATTATACCTAGGATTATATTATGGTTTCGCAGGTTTGGCCATTGCCAGAGTGGCCCAAACACGTAAACTGTGAACACCCTTTAATCTCAATTATATTACAAATCATCAATAATATTCTACGATTCACGCATAATATTAGTACGATTCTTATTAGCTATTATCATAGAAATCCGGAGTAGGTATGTGCTCGAGTAGTGTCACGTGTAACCAGTCACTCATCGACACAGTCGTTGGAACTATCGATAGCTACATTTTTTAGTAGACGCGGTTAAGTTGATACGAACGTAATATTTAATAAAATCGACTATAAAAAAAAAATTAGATTAATTTAATGATAAACAGCAAAAACCTTTAATATACCGACACCCGCGAACCACAGTACGACAGAACTATTAGGTAATATCATACACAGTTACGTCCGTTGGTACGGTACCTACACCATAAAATTGATACTATAAATGTATAATAAGATATTAAGATATCATAATATTTTACAGTGATAAAAACAGCGAGGAATACATTCATATATTAGACTGCGTAGGTAGGTGGCAATAATAATTAACGACTATTTGTTCGCACGCGCGGAAAATGGAACGCGAATACGTGACGGGCTGGTAGAACAGAGAAACGACGTGGACGTTTATAATATTATGTGTAACACCGGTCGCAGACCTTTTTTTTTTACGATCCTCGCCAGCTTCTGGTAGCTCTTGTGTTCTCTGATCTTGTCCAAGAACTTGACCTTGCCACTGGCCGAGGACGACGACCGCGAATCGGTGGCCGAGGTCAATGCCGTCCGGGCCACCAGCGGAGAGACGTCGTCTTCTTCGCCGACTCCGTCGTCGTCGTCGTCCGGATCGGAGACGTCCTCGTCAACGATGACGAACGTGCTGCCCAGCGTCGCGTCGTCCGCGTCGAAACTAGGAGTCTCTGTGGACATGTAAGCGGTCTCCTCGTCGTCGTACTCCAGCGACGGCAGGTCCACATCGTGTACGATAGCGTCGCGGGCCATCCCGTCGACGGCCAACTATGTCCCGTGGTATGGAGGGTGGTCGTGTCGTTACGTCCAACAGTGGTGGAGACGATGGTCGGCGTGGTACATTTTCAGAATGCGAAACGGAACAGCGAGCACCTTCGCGCGCTCAAGAATAAGTAGTCCGGTCGGGCAAAAGAGAGACGGCGAAAGGGAGCCACACGGAAAACGCCAAGATACGAAACATTCGGCGTACGTCACCGGCTGCGAACTGTAGGCCGTCACGGAGGAGACCGGTTCGGTCGTCTCCGCGCAGGCCAGAGTGTTATTCACATTTTTGTTATTTGTTTTCTCTCTTTCTCACTCCGTATCACTCACGCTCCCATTCTCTCACGCAGCAGGCTCTCTAGCTCACTATCATCCCCTCTCAATCAAACGCTGAAACGCGTTATTTTTTACAGCACGAGGAAAAAATAATAACGACATTATTGCCAACCAAAATGTATAAAATACCGTACGTCTGCTGCGTATGTTGCGCGGATACGTCAACAAATTTGACGTTAGAAATTAGGAATTAGGATTTGTGTGGGTTCAACATTTTTGTTATGCGCACATGCTTTTCGTCGGTCTCTCGTAAATGCGTATTATGGGTAGATTCCGCGAAACCTATGAACCTATATCGATATTTGACGACAACAACAATTTAAACTACAAAATATTTCCATATCGTATAAATAGTGATTATTATACAATGTACAGTATTTAGTCGAAAGTCTATACGGTGGAACCCAATAAGGCAATAATATAATAAACTGTTGTGCTGCCTGGACTAAAACGCGCGTAATAGCTATTTCTCAATAATTATGTTTACCTGTACGGCTGTACAAAAAACCAAAACAAAATGTATGGTTGATGAAATCATTTAGATTAACATTTTGACATTTTGTTAGCAATTTTATACAAAATAAGCAATTAAAATAATCTTTTGTAAGATACTTTACTACAGGCACCAACTACAAAATATGTACAATACCATTAGCCTGTAATGATAGATGGTAAAAAAATTGTAAGTACAGGGTTCCTACAAAAGAAATGGAACTTATGATTTAATTAAAATTTTAAAATACAAATATCCTAGTGAAATAATAATTGAATGATATAGTCAAAATACTGAATAACTGATTACTGAAGCAATTTTTATTTTATATCCATAAAATCGAAATTATGGATAATAATTATAGATTATACCTCAGCTATCGTAATTAGTCATGTTTTCTAAAAATAATTTAATAGTTTTAAAAAAATAAAAATAAAATTAATGGATTCATTCAATCCCTGCCACGATATAAGATAAGAAAATCTATTACCTTATCTATAATCGTGATCCCTATACAGAGTTATGTCTAAAAAACATATGGTTCACGTGGTTGATAGTTTATCACTGCCCACATCAACATCACACCATTCACACCATATAAAATTGTAAGGTGAATAATAAAAATATATTTAATATACAGAGTGTCCCATGAGGATATACTAATTAACTGTAGCGGTGGACTCGCCGCTCGGACAAAAACCGGTTTTTCGCCGTTTTACCTATAAACTAAAAAAATATCAAAAATCATGAAATTAAAATAAAATGTTGGAAGGTCAAAATTTTCAGAAAAATTAACTCTACGTAATGGATATCGTCAAATGTTTCAAAAATAAAAAAATAAAAAAATGTATTTAACTTTTTTACTAGACAATTTAATTCAATTTAAAAAATAAATATATTTAGTCCTAATCTCTGTGAGTCTAATAAAAAACAGATTTATGATACATTTATTATTTCAAGGGATATCGTAATGAGTAAAGTTTCACGGGATACCCTGTATATTACCTACTAATTTTTTTTTATTATAACTAATATTGAATTGACCGTAGTTAAAGTAAAACATTTTCAATTAATTATTTTCTTAAGATTGCTAAATCTAAATCAGCATCAATTTTAATTAATATATTGAAATCAATATATTCTACTCAAATAAATTTAATGAATACCTACAAATAATACAAACAATAAAATATATGTTGTATAAGTATGTCATAGTTAGTTTAGCTGTCATAGTTTATACTAATAGCTAATATATAAAAAAAAAAAAGGTATTACAATAATAATTTAAGGACATTAATGGTTATACATATCGGCTATCGTAATATTACTATAGTAAGTAGTAATATGTTACAATCAGTCCAGGGCCTTATTAACCAATAGGCTGAGTAGGCTACAGCCAGGGCGCCAATCAGACAATGTTAAAAAATTGGAGGCGCCACGAAATAATTTTTTTTTAACTGTCCCAATGTATCAGCATTTAGCACATACTATTACTATAATTTAATTATTAATCTTATATGGAATATGAGGAAAAAAATAAATATAAATGAAAATGAAATATTGTCAATCACTAGTTATAGTGTACTGTACTATGTTCATATTCAAAATGATCTGATCTGGACAATGAACATAACCAACTTCCGCAAGCATTTATGATGCAAAGTGATTTCCAAAATATAAAAATATGTGATCATATTATACAAAAATACATTATGCATTTACGTAGTTTAGGTAGGTCATCTACCATAAGGTGCCGGAAGTCTAAGAACCCCAGAGGCTAGATATATCAAAATTTAAATAATAAAAAAGAAATTCAAGTGCTGAAATAGTTCATGTCAATCAGGGGAAACCACGGAGTTTGTTGGCATTATAATTTATTTATAGAAGTTAATATTTTATACTGTGTTATCATTATTTTTGAATGAACTTACTAAAAATAGAGAGCGTGATGAATACAATTAAATTAAACTTATTTTAAATCTAAAATCATTGAAAAATATGTTAATATATATAGGTCATACGATCTTAATTTGGTTACAATTTTTTTTCTGCTATAAATCTAGTAAAAAGCATTAAGTAAACGCGTTCCACTTTTTAATGAAAATATAATCAATAACATTATAATATGTATATGCGGATTGAGTGACGGTTAAACAGTTGAAACTGTACTTAAAATATACTCAATCAAGGAAGGCTGCACCTTTTTTCAGTAAATGTGTGACTCATTGAGGGCTTATTATTCAAATGAGTGGTAACTAAGTATAAACTTTTTTCTTTCCATTTGTATTACTAATAATAGCATTAAATGCTAGTAATTAATAAAAATTAATTGAGGCACTTAACTAAACATCCTACTGTACTTATACGTCTTTACTTAAAACATTAACCTGTTATAATTGTTGGTATGTTTAATCATAGTAAACATTGTTAATTTACAAAATTAGCATGTATTAGTAATAAATCATGAATTACTCATATATTTTTTCTAAGTTTTGTTTTATTTTGACATAATAATTTATATTTTATAAAATACTGAGTTAGTAGCTACCAGAGTGACTTATGTCTTAAACTATGTGAAGAAAATATATTTAAATTCATTACATAGTATTAAAAGTTAGTAGTGTTACTTGTACCTACAAGACATTTTCAAAAAATTGTGATTAAGTTTTTTATTACTCCATTATTACTTATAATAATTAGTACCTAGTAAAATTTAATACAAGTATTTTATTACCTTTTGTTCATACTTCAAACAATTCAAACGTGTAAATCGTAGGGACTATCATAATTTTGGCTACATAATAGATAACATGGGTAATTTTATAAATATTTTAATAAGTACATAATTTTATAATGAAAATAATATCATTAAAATTATATATTACTTCCTAATGAAATTATTTTGGATTTTCTGATTGATTAAAAATTTTTTTATTATTATTTAAGTTTTGCCGACTTCTTGTCGCCTGAACTTAATGATAAGGAGTAAGGATAGTACTTTGACTAATAATACAAAAAGTATTTTTAATATTTTAAAATTAATTAATTAAAAATATTCTATTAATTAAGTAGGTAGGTGCTATTATTATTTGTTAATCAATATATATTTCAATAAATAAATAGGTAGGTAACTGAAATTTAAAAGAAGTCATTATGTTTTTATTCAAATAGTTGAGTTTTAATACAATTAAAGTTTAAGACAGCACTCGTAAGGTTTTAATAAAATACCTACAACAGTAGCTGTATTAATAACTATTATTTTAAATCTATGACCACAAATTGGTTTTAACTTTAATTTCTGTACCTAATGTCTAAATAGATAATTTACAATTCATATTTGTTTATATTCAACATAATAATATAAAATATATTGAAGCAAGAGTCTAGCGCAAACCACTTAATTTATTTTTTCATCACAAAATAAACTACAAAAGTAAATACATATTGTTTTAAAGCTGAACTAGGTACCAGTGACATTATTATACTTTTGATCTTAAATAAATGAACAACTAATTAATAAATAAAGTAAATTGTAGTACAAGTTCACATTTTTTGAAGCAATTCAAACATATGTCTAGTGCAATAGTTATAAAATCATAGGTACATTCATTAAAGAGAAACACAATATGAAATTGTAGTTATTCGATACGAACAGCATACATTATAATTTAACTATCTATTACATACCTATAATATATATGGATATTAAATATTAATGTTTGTTAATAAACCATTAGTGCTTGCGTTTTGACCCGAATAAACATTCTACAAAGTTTATAAAATAGTTAGTGCACTTACCCACTGTGAGAGTACTCATTCTTGGATAATTGAATGCAACAGACTAAAGTAGATTATATTATATTTACACAGTTTTATAATATACGTTTGCACAAATATTATACTGTAACGATTGAAAGTGCGAAGTCCAACTTCAAGTTCTGTATAGCGATTTTTCTGGTCGGCTTATCATTTATCAATGACGTCGGTGTTTTCTTCTGGGGCAACAATAGATAAAATAATAAATATATGTGTATACATTATTCTATACGTATATAAATATAAAAAATATCAGTGTGACCAACCAGAACGAGTTTTAGTTCGTAAATAATTGATTAATTTTGTTCATAACTCATAAGTCATAAGCACCAACTACATTATAAGTCAAAACAATAAAAAGACATTAACTCAAACACAGACTTCTATAGTTTTTTTTAATCTACCAATACTCAATAGTTACTATAAATTATTGATAGATACTAAGTATTGTTTTGCATAGTTTAATAAATTATAAATTAAAATGTAATATATTATATAAATTTTGACCTAATTCTAATGGACTGTAAATTATTGTAAGAACTGTAGAAGTCCATGTACATGTTCATTATATATTATAGTGTGATTACGTGTGATTCAGATTGTGTGGTACATCTGGCATTTAGGATCATTATTCAGCA